CTGGTCTTCCATGTGTTCATGCATTTTCTTGCATTAAAAGTAGAAACTTCAAGATTAAAGAATACATCCATGTTTATTATAGGAAGTCAATGTACATAGAGGTATATTCATCTGTGCTTTATCCTGTGAATGGATCTAATCTCTGAGTGAGAATTGAATATCCAGATGTCCATCCTCCTAAATATAAAAGGATTCCTAGAAGACCAAAGAAAAGAAGAAATCTCGAGCAAGGGGAGCTGGATGGAGCTGACAAAAAATGAAGAGAATATGTTTTACAGTCAGGTGTTTTAGGTGCAAGCATACAAGGCACAACAAATCAACATGTAGGGTGACTACAACTACTCAAGGTACTCAATAAATTGCTCAAGGTTCTCAACAAACACACGGTCCCAATGAAGCTACTCAAGGGTCTCGATATACTGTCAACCTTATTCAACCAACTGCTCATGGTTCTTAACAAACACATGTTCCCAATGAAGCTACTCAAGGGTCTCAACATGTTCTCAACCTTACTCAACCAACTACTCAAGGTTCTCAACAAACACATGGTTCTAAGAAATATACTTAGGGTTCCAAGCAGGCAACATCGAGTGCTATTGAAAAACAAGGAAGTCATGCAACATCAATACTAAGAAGGCCAAGTAATATGGGTGTTAGGAGGCCATCAACACCTTTTGTTCCTCCTGGACCAACTACAAGACTAACTGCTGCCAAGAATGTGATTGGCCCAACTACAAGGAGGATAACTCCAACTAAGAGGACAACACCCAAGAAAAAAACTTATATCTATTTGTGTAATGGTCTTAACTGATATTTGGAACCAACTACTATCATTTTGTGTTACGCTTATGTATGTCATTTTGAATTGCTGTCATTTTGTGTAATGGATATGAATGTCATTTTGAGCAAATTCATGTTAATGACAATTATGTGTTATGTTGAAATTATGTTAATTACAAGTTTATGTGTTAATGCATAATTGAACAATTGAACAATGTCACAATGAATAACTGAACTAATACAATTGAAATTCTGTGTTCCAATAATCAACTTATAAAATTGAATTGATATAATTGAAAAATTGAACAATGTTACAACAATCAACTGATCTAAATCAAAGCATTTCACTACAACATAAAAAACCAGAACTGCTACGAGGTTTAACTAATTTGGAATATAGAAAAAAACCAGAACTTAAATATTTCACTACAACTTAAACATTTCAATTCATCATGAACAAAACCAGAAGCATTGCACCTAAAATAACAAACATCATCCAACATTTTTTCAAATTCAGAATCTTGTTCATCTCCTTCCTTAATTCTTCATTTGTCAACCTAACTTTTTCAATCTCCATTATTGCACCATCCAATTTCTTTGATAACTTTTCAAATCTAGACATTATAATTTGCCCTTTATCATCTTGAGCTTCCTCATAAAACCATTCAAAATACCCACACCCAGGTTTCCTTGTTCCCTGCATTTTACAATGGATTACTCAAACATTAACAATGGAGTTAAAAAGCTTGTACATATCACAAACATACATTAAAATGAGAACAACCCCAAAAATGTTTTCTATAGATCTTTGCCGTTGAATACCTACGAAGAATAGTCGTGTCTCCACAATGACAACTCGGTTTCCATGTAAGATTCGAGCTCGTAAACACATTGGAGTTCATACTTTCATGGATTCTCGGATTCGTGGGGGATGAAGCATAACCTGATTTCATGGAGGATGAACTCTAAGTTTCAATTTTTGGAAATCAAAATCAACTTAACCCTTAGATACAAATGTAGAAGGCGAAGTTGGTGAAATAGACAAGTGAAAAGGAAGGAGACAAGCCATGTCATCTGCAACATCTGCAAACCCAAACGTCTGTTTGCAGTAAATAGATTGAAATGACCTATGTGCTCTGTTTTTAAGACTTAAGGGATTGATTTGAACTTTTTAAAAGTTAAGGGACCATAATGGACACCGAGGCAAAGTTAAGGGGCGAAAAATGATATTTTCCCTTTAATTTATTATATATTAGTATTTATCCAGTTAGCTGTGACCGCCTGAAAGCGCTTCCCATTTATTTGAACTCTCTAGTGTTAGAACATAGTTTGATTCTACAACCCTTAATTAGAGTTTTGATGATAACAAAATACAAAGAATAAATAAATTGTAAGATTTTTATATAAGACAAATATGCTTCTTAAAATTATGTTCTGTATATACAGAAGATCTGATGGAATCAGCATCAGCATCAAAAGCATCAGAAGATCAGTAACATGTGCTACACGCTGAAGCTACCAGATCATACGCTGAAGCTTGATGACCAGAATCTGCGCATAAACATATGCACTCTGACTCTGATCAAAGATCTCTACCAAGTCATCAGCACTCTGAAGCGTTATCATAAGTTAAAGCAAAGAACACTCTGAAGCGTTACTAAGTATTCAAGACAGAATTAAATGCTAACGACTCTCTTCAAGACAAGATCTTCTCAAGAAGGAAAGTGTGTTATTATCATTAAAAGTGCTTTATGGACAACGTATCTCTGCCTTGGCTATATAAACAAGTCTCCTTGAGAAAAGACGCACGCATGCACTCATACATTTTGCCAAGCCTTCAAAACCACGCTTACTCAAACGCTTTAGCAAATTCATTTTTACTCCAAGCTTAAATTGTGTATTATCACAGTTGTGATATATTGTTTTATTAGAAAACGTTTAACACATCATTGTTCAATTCATTTGTAAAAGATTTCCTTGAGATAAACCGGTTTGTGGTTATACTCAAGAAGGCTTTAACAGTTGTTAAAGTAGCTGTTGTAATCCTTTGAATATAGTGGATTAAGACCTCGTTTGAGAGAGGCGAAATCACCTTGACGGGTGGACTGGAGTAGTTTGAGATCAAACGAACCAGGATAAAAATACAGTGTTGTCTAAGCATTTGTTTTAAGTTTTACAATTCAACCCCCCTTTCTTGTGTTTTTCACATCTTCATCTAGTACCTAATCAGTTAACCTAGAAAGAGAATTTAGATGGTATATATATTGTTTAAGAGGGTTATAATTGGCTCAACAAACATGAATTTGTTCAAAATACAATAGACAATAACTCTTGGAAGTGGGTGTGACATATTCCTACTCCTAAGAAGGTGAAATTCTTTCTTTGGACGATTTTACATAAGTCTATTCCTACGAGATCGATGTTGTGTCATCGTGGTATGCTCTAGATAAATCTATGTCCTTATGCAATCAAGACGCTGGAATAACTCTACATTACCTGAGAGACTGTGAATTTTCTACTCGATTTTGGAAATCTATTAGCTTTTTGGACCTACTATTATTCTAAGGGGATAATTTATATGATTTGATTAAATATAACATTGATGGTGGCTCTATCTTATTGGCTGCTTGCTGGTGTTTGTGGTGTGCTAGGAACAAATTATATCTTGAGAGTGAAGTGGTACCTTCCTATACTTTGAAACTCATCACAGTAAATTATGTTAATATGCTAGATAAATGTTTTCTCAAGCATAGTCTGTCCATCTAGTGAGAATGATCACAGACTCCACACAAAGATAATATTATGATTTTAAATGTTGATTGTGGTAACCTTAGTAATCTCGATGTCTCGAGTTTTTATTGATTGATTCAAAATACTGATGATGCCCAGGTTAACGGTTTTACGAGTAATATTAGTTTTTCAAATATCCTTCATGTTGAGCTGATGATGCCATATCATGGTTTCCGTATGGCCTGAGAACTTGGCATCAAAGATCTTATATGTTATTCTGACTTCAACTCTACTATCAAATTTATCTCAGAGTCTGTTAATGTTTGACATTATCATGTCGCAATTCTTCACAATATTAAAGAGCTCCTCTCTAAGGAATGACAAGTTCAAATAATTTACACTCTCAATGAGTGTAATATTTTGTGCTGGCTATCTAGCAAAACACGGAGTTGGGTAATGATGTAGCATACCAATCTTTTACGGAGCCTCCAATAAGAATCATGACCCTGCTACTAGCTTATGCTAGTGAAAGTTTATTCCTTAAATAATTTCTTCCTTTTTGTTTTCTTTTCTCACTTGTACAAAAAATAAAATAATAAAATATAATAAATACTCAATAGTATAATAGAAAAAATAACATTAATAATTTCTTAGTATCATAAAACAACTTATAATTCAATATATAAATTTTCCTCAAAGCAAATTATAATAAAAAAACATAAGCAATACTAATAGAAATATATTTTTCAAATTATTTTATTATTAAAATCAAACTTCAGTTTTGTTATAAATGACATGATTATGGATATCCATCAATGAGGAGATTTCATATTGATTTTCCTTTATTATATATATCTTATAAATAAGACTCATATTATAAATAAGACTCATATTGATATTATATTTTATTAAATTATCCATAATTCTTACAATGTGTTTGTTATATAGTTCCTGAATAACTTCACAAATATCTCCGAAGGATAGTAATGAGTTTTTTATATAGTTTCTGAAGAATTTATCAAATACTCTAAAAAATAATATTGAATTTATTATATGGTTCGTGAAGAATTTATCAAACATTCATGAATGATTGAAAATATTATTATTTTTATTAAAAAATTTATGATTAAATTTATGAAAAAACTATATAAAAAAAATTGTGATTGAATTTCTGAATAACTACAAAAATAAATATTTCTTAAATATGACCGGACCAACCACTAACCCAATAATCAATAGTTTGACTAGATAGATAATTGACATGGATTTTAAAACATTGAATAATATTAATAAATAAAATTACTATTTTGAGATCCCATTTTCTTCACCATCCAAATTACGTTCATTCCAATCACCACTTTACTTCCACCTTGGCTATTTCTCTTATCAAATCAAAATCACCAACAATCACGTGCTTCGATTTTTCTTTCGCATTTCCAGAAACAAACGAGGATTTCAATTGAATTTTCTTACCATCACCACATACACACATGGTACGTGAATTCGATTCAATTCGATTCAACTCAATTCATTCTTATTCATAATCCACAATTCCCAATTTTTGTTCTTAGGTTTATCACTCTAGTTTTGTGGATGATGGAGGAGTGAACAGAGCTTGTGGATGCCCTCTTCTTCCATTAAAAAGCCACATTAAGGGTCCTGCTCCTGTTTCCGATCAAGGTTTTTCTTTTCCCTTTTCTCATTCAATTCGTATTTTGTTGTTGTTGTTGTTGTTGTTGTTGTTGTTGTTGTTGCTGTGTTTTTCAGAATTTGAGATATGTTGTTGTGTGTTGTGAACGGTAGATAGAACTGATATTGTGGATGAAGCAATCACATTCTTCAGAGCCAATGTATTCTTCAGAAACTTTGACATCAAGAGTCCTGCTGATAAGATTTTGATATACTTGACTTTTTACATTAATGTTGCTCTCAAGAGGCTTGAAGGTTGTAGAACTTTGGCTGAAGGAACCAAAGCGATTATTAACCTGGGTCTTGAAAATGTTCCTGTACCTGGAGAGTCTGGTTTTCCTTTTCCGGGTCTTTTTGTCATTCCTCAATCAAATAAAGAAGCAGGTTAATATTCCTTTACCTCGCTACTTTCATGGTTAGATAGATAGATATGCATATGCTTAGTTTAATTAATCATCTAATACGTGACTTGTTATATTATACTGTATTCTCAATTTCTCAATATTTGAATAAGTAGTTTTAATTGTCTTAGAAGTAAACCAGGCAACTTGACTCGAGTGGTTAATGAGGTTGAATTAAGTGTGAATTGTTCAGGAGTTCGAATACTATTATACTGACTGAACTGTTCTTGGTAAGATGTCGAACTCCAGATTATGAGGTCCCCTTTCCTTGGAAAGTAGAGGGTTAAGACAAAAAAATTGTCTTTAGAAGTAGAACTTTGATTTTTTTTTCTATTCAAATTTTTATGGATGATTTGATAAAATCTTTACATTTGCTACCTTAATATACTTTAAACTAATGTCACCAAATGTGTGGGTGAGTGCCTATGCTTTGTTGTTTAGCTTTTGTTTGAATTATAGTAATATATTGTATCATTGGCTGCTTGGGTTGACACCCGCGGGCATGTCAAGACGGAAAATAGATGACAACAGTTCGTTGCCTTTTTAGTTTTATGAAAATAAGGATGAGGAATAACACTGAGAATGAAGTTATATAGGCATTTCATAAGCTTGAGATTAAAGGCATGGAATGGTGTTAATACCAAATGTTGTTGGGTTGGCATTGGTCATGAGACACCTAATTAAGTACTCAAGTTTGGAAACTTTTCTTCACAAAGAGAGAGGCTCTTCTTAAATAATTTCCAACTTCTAATTGGGCTACACAATCAGGATGTTGTAAATTTTGCAGTGGTTCTTAGGTGGACTGGTTCTTAGTAAAAGGAGAGGTGTTTCTAATTTAGAGGTGAAAGTTGGAGATCATATCATACTACAAGTTATACGATTTAAATATTTTGGATTCATAGTACAAAATGATGGAGAAATAGAAGACGTAAACTATCGAATTCAAGCTAGGTGGTGGCAATGTCCTTAGGTGTTTTATGTGATACGAAAGTACCTCTCAAATTAAAGGGAAAATTCCATCAGAGAGCTGTAAGACCGATGATATTGTATGGAATGTTGGGCGGTAAAGAACGAACATGAAAATAAAATAAATGTAGCAGAGATGAGAATGTTGTGTTGGATGTGTGGTAAGAGTAAACGAGATAAGATTAAAAATAACATTATTAGAGAGAGTGTTCGTAACACCCATAGATTAGATGAAAGGTAATCAAACAACTAAAGGTGGGGAAAGACCCAGAAAAACCTAGAAAAACCGTAAAAGAAACAATAGGAAAAATCTTGAGATTTATGAGTTATATAGAAACATGGTTTTTTATAGAATATTATGGCGTAGTTTGATCCATGTAGCTGACCCATTTAACGGAATACGACTTGATTGTTGTTGTTGATGTTGTACTTAGGTGGGACTGATTGATTGGGTTTCAGCTGAAAAAAATAGAGAGTGGGAAATACTTTGCAAAATAGAGCAATATGTACTTCCCGTAGGAGTGAATGATGGCCAAAATGAAAACTTCGGTTCTCTTCCTTTCTGCTTGTAAGATGAATTTTCAGATTGTACTTATACCAGTATATAAGGTTTCTTATTTCATCTTATATTTTTGTCTTCGAGCCTTCCTGTAGAGTCAAGTCGAGAGGATTTTTACTGATTTATCTACGAGCTTAAGATCTTCCATTGACTGAACTGTACATTGTAGCTTTTGACTCTCCATTTAATGTGATTGTAAATAATGCTTCTTGATGCAATTGCACTGTATTGCATGCTGGCTTACATCGATCTTTGAATATTTTGTTGTGCTCAATCTGGTTGATGCAACATTGCAATTTAATTAATTTGTTCGTAGAACACATGAATCCTTATATGCAATCTTTATGATTTCAACAAATGCAGAATTATTCAGAAATTATTTGAAGCAGATAAGGGAAGAAACAAGTGGGAGATTACTGAGTGTTGCATACAGACCTAATGGCACTCCAAATAAATGGTGGTTGGCATTTGCAAAAAGGAAATTTATGAATGTAATCACCCGTTGAACTGTTGTGGCAAACATGTAGTTGCTTGAATTATAGATTAAGCTGTCCAAACTACAACTCAACACTATTGATCTACCAATAAAAAAATATAATGATTATTGAGAGCCATGTTGCTTGTCTGTTTTGAATATTTTATTCTGAAAATTCTCAACTACTGCTAGCTAGGTGGAATTCATAATTGAGCTATGACCCCAACCTTTGCTTGTGCCGGTGGTGCTGGTTATGTTTAGTTGTTGTATTGTCCATGAAGTTATAGCTAGAATTGCATCATTTATAGCTTCATTGTATCTTCAATACTATATACAGTATATTAATGTGCATTATACCTTCAAGTTTTATTTTACTCCTGTAAAAACAGTTTTATTTTACTTTTTTCATTTTTCATTTCTCAGTTTTATTATACTTATTTTATTTTACTTATATTTTTCATCAATAGTTACTTATTTTAAAATGTATCCTTTTATTTTTAATGGAGGTTAATTTATATTAGAAAAAACAAATCCTCCCATTGATGTATTTTTAAGTAAAAACACATAAAAGATTGATACGAATTTCATTAAAAAAATCTATTTAAAGAACGGTTAAATAAATTTGAGCACATTAATTAAAAATCATTTTTGAAAAAATATTTTTTCATATATAATTGTTCTTAAAATAATTCTAAATTGTAACTAGAACTTTCCATTTTTTATGATCTAATTAATTAATATTATATATCACTTTCAAATCAATTTTTTTTTTAATAAAAAAATACTTTACATTCACGATAATTATAAATAAATTAATAAAAAAACTTGCTAAAATCATATGAAAGAAATGTCACTATCCTATCTATTAAGAAAAAACTTATTAAAACATTATTTTAATAGTCTTTGGTTCATATAAGTTTGTGTGATTTTTATTTTCCTGCATGGAAATTTACACGTTTTTTTATTTTCGTCCATATATTTTATTTATTTTTAAATAATTTCTAAATAGTAAAATTATTTTGATTTTAGTTTTTAAAGTTAAAATTCACATAAAAATTTGAAAAAATAGACAAATTTTGAACTAAAACTGAATAAAATTTAACATTTTATCAAAAAAAAGAAATATAGAGAACAACTTTTTATTTTTTGCTTTCACATTGTAATTCTTAAAAAAAAATAGACCCTAATAATCTAGAATTCGTGCTATGAAGCACACATAATGCGTCGAAAACTATTTAATATATATATATAACAACTTGATTAATATATAGAACAACTTAAAGAAACTAAAAACTATTTAAAACAAATACACACCCTTTTAAAAAACCACCTTAATACCCTTAAATGTTTGTATATATTACATTACCCACACTTTAAATAAAATAGTAAATCAATGAATAATAAAATATAATGTCATTTAAAACTATTATCCAATTTTTTTTTAATATTAAATTGTTAGAGTTAAAAATGAGTATTTAACTTTTTTTTTCTCAAAATATTAAATAAAAAATATTTTAATAAATAATTATTATTGTATACATCGAAAAAAAATTCAAACATCCTCTGCTATTAAAATATATACAAAAATTACACATTTTATAAATTTCATCAGCATCAAATACTTAAAAACAATGATTTAATAATCAGATTAAATTGGTTAGTCGGACCGGTCAAATTAAAAATTAGAGGGAATCATTAATTTGATATGATTGCTGGATCAAATATGTTATTGAACCGATAGAAATTAGTTAAAATCGGTCAAAACCGAAGAAAAAAAATCAGTAAATCGACAATTTTAGAAAATTGACGGGTCAAAAACATATATTTTTTCCGATAAAAATAACGTCGTTTTGATAACTTTTTTTAAAGAAATTATTATGAAAATATAATTAGACTTTATTCAAAACTTATTTGGAACAACATTCTCTTGTTTATAATTAGATTTGATTCAAAATTTATTTAAATTTATATTTTATATTATTTTGTTATGAATGACGATTATATTTAGAATATGAATTCAAAAAAATAAATGTGAAATTATGATATTTTAAAATTTTATAGATTGTGTGATATTTTTTAAACACTAAATTATCTAATTCGACTAATTTAATCAATATATAATTTTATTATAGAGATTAATTTATTTAATCGAACTATCTATTTAATCTGATTTACTTATACAATTCGGTCAATGATCCAGTAATTTGATTAATAAACCAATAACTCAGTATTTTTAGGTCCTATTTTTAAAATATTATTTGTAAAGAATATAAATATCTGTTAATATATAAAAGGAGGCGTGGGTGGAAGTAAATAAATAGGGGGTGCGAACTTCTATATAGCAAGTTGGTTCGGAAAAACCCTAAACTGTGGAGTAGTCGAGTTTGAGTTGAGTTCAGGGTTTACTCTCAATTTCAATTCCAACTAAACCTATTGACTCCTCACACTCTCTCTCTCTCTCTCTGCAGCAATGGCAGTTGCAACGGAGTTTCATCTTCCACAACTCTCCGTCGTCGACTTACCCTCTCTTCTTCAAGCTATGGCCGCCGACACTCTTCTCGCCGCTGCTCAATCTGTCGCTCTCGTATTGCTCTCTCTAAACCCTCTCTTTAATTCAACTTTTTTTAGTTTTATTGTTCCTTTTATTCATTAACTAAGTAAGCTGTTTCTAAATTAGGGTTTTTGATTTGCTTGCTTTGAACTCTGTGCTTTACTGTGTGACACCGGGGAATGGTTTTGTTTGTTTTTCTATTTACTGTCAAGATTCTTTACAATTGTGTTTCATGTAAATTATATTGAATGCGGGTAAAATTGTTTCAGTTTCAGCCCCTTATCTTTTTAGTTGCTGTTTTTCCTAGATTAAGACCTAGAAAAACTATAAGAGAGGTTATGGTTATTAAGAAAGATCTCGTTTAACTATTTGTATAAGAGCGGTTATGGATAGAACTTTATGGCGGAAGTTAACCCATGTAGCCGGCTCCACTTAGTGGGATAAGATTTGGTTGTTGTTGTTGTTGATTTATTTATTTTAAAACGCGAGTCTACATAGGCTCCAAGAGATTACCTTGACTATTGAGTTTGAGAATCTTGCCCGTAATGCTATGAAAGAAAATAAAACATAACACACGAGAACTGTGCTCCACTTATTCCCTCCCTCCTATTTGTGTGTTTTGAAAAAGAGCAATTGCTGTTGCTTTTTGCCTCTTTTAGTATCTATGTTGTTCATGGGTGCTGTTGTCTTTTTCAGGATTTTACCCTTTAAAGAAACCATTGACATGATTTGTACTGTAACTGAAAGCTATGAAATTTTCCCTCTTTTAATCACTACTGTTGTTCAAGGGTGCTGTTGTCTTTTTTCAGGATTTGACCCTTTAGAAAAACCATTGACATGATTCGAATTGTAATCAAAAGCTATAAACTTTTCTCTTTTCTTTCTTCATTGAACTGCTGTTGTATGATAAGTATGCTCATTTATATGTCATGGCCATGGGTTTATTTGATCTAAGATATCTATTTGATGATGATATTAAACTAAAGCATCCTTGGTATTTGTATTGTGTTGCATCCAATTTGGTAAATGTTTTTTATTTACTTCTGTTTGTTTTCTTCCAGATTGGATATCTGCTAGTGTCTCCAAAATTGACCGCAATGGATTCAAGGTAAGAATAAACCTATGCTGATTTAAAGTTAACAACACATTTGTTAATTATTCTGATGCATGTTATTCCTTTTCAGGTTTCCTTTAGAACACCTCTTAGGGAGGAAACCTGCTTACTTAGAAAACAAGAGTGATGATGAGGATGATGAGGATGAGGACGATGATGAGGATGTACAAGACGAGGACAATGATGGAGAAGACGAAGACTTCTCAGGTGATGAAGGCGAAGAAGAAGGGGATCCTGAGGATGATCCCGAGGCTAACGGTGCAGGAGGAAGTGATGATGATGACGATGGTGATGATGATGGCGACGATGGTGATGAAGAAGATGATGAAGATGGCGAAGATGAAGAGGATGAAGACGAGGAAGAGGAAGATGATGATGCACCCCAGCAGCCACCAACCAAGAAGAGGAAGTGAGAATTATGTTAGTAGGAAATTGGTTCCATGGGTTGCATTTGAGTTAAGCTTAGTGGTTAGAAAAGACACATTAGCAACCTTTAAGAGGAAACCTGTGTTGCTTTATTTTATGTCAATTATGATTACTGTTACTAGTATATTGATATTTCTTCGTTTCTATTTTAAGTTCTTCTGTCCAGTTATTATCATACGTGAGTGTTTTTTTTTTTTTTGCTTTTGCTATCAATCTGGGGAAGTTTTTTCTAGTATATTAATGCTTGAATCATGCTCTCTACTTCACTGCTTCCTTCCTACAAATATATTTTGCATAGACCAAATTTAGTGTTTGCTCAAAAGATCACGTGTGACCTTCTTTTTAATGATTAAAGTACTATTTATTTAGATAAAATATAATTGTTAAATCAGTTATAATTAATTATTCAGACAGTGTAATGTATAATCTTAAATAATATTTCCTGTCTCATAATAAATGTTTGTTTGTACTTTTTCTCTGTCTTAAAATAATTATCTATTTACAGTTCTAAATATATCATTTATTATTAATTTTCCTACCTTCAAAGGACGAAGGTTTCAGTAGCACCAACTGCAAGAATGCTGCGCAAGACAACATGAATCTATGTAGCAAACCCGCATGGAGAATGTCTGATGAGCCTAAAATGGATTCAGAAAAACCATTCTGCACAGTCCCAAAAGAGTTATAGATAATTATGTCACCAAAGTTTGTAAGAGTTCAAAGATAACTTTCACCAACATTGATGATAAATGCAATGAAAGTTGATGATAATGCAATGAAAGTAGAGGGACTTCCATTTGACGTATACTACATCATATCTGTGTTCAAGTGATGCATTTTTTTGAAACACGAAGGCAAGAGTTTGCTATACTGCGAGCAGCAAAAGTGAAGCGAGGGGTGGTTGAAGATGGAGAAAAATACAAGAAATGAGGGTTTGAATTGAGTTTTCAAAAACTTTTTTTTAGAGATGTTTCACACAAACAATCAGAATAGAATCAATGCAATAGAAAGAAAAATGACACTTTCGATTTATACAGATTCACCTTCAACAAGGCTAATCTTGTCCATCCGCCGATGTAATTTTGCCTTAGAAAATGACTTAATCATCTAATCTTGAAAGATTACAATCAACGTCTAAGAGTTAGAAAACACCTTAGGCCTCTCAAGTATTCTGACTATACCCTAGTCACTTGAGGAATCAACAATAGACTAAGAGCTAGAAAATACCTTAGCCCTCTCAAGTATTCTGACTATTCACTCTAGCCACTTGAAGTAACAATTCTCAACAAAATTACAATCAAATAGTGTTTACAAAAGTGCTTCAAGAATAAACAAATTACACCAATGTTAAGTTCAAATTGTTTAACACAAATATGAGCAACAACTCTTTGTGTTACAACAAATAATGAAGAACAAAATTTCCACGCAAATAATGATCAACAACTCTTTGTGTTTTGTCTTATTTTCTTGAATGAACTTCACGTATTGATTTTGGCAGACTTACTGTTCTTGTGTTATAGTCTTGTGTTTTGCAAATTAAACAGTTGATCCTTAATATAGGCTTTAAAGAGTAGACCGTTATAGTAGTACACACATCACTTTTATTGTCAGCTGTCATAACGGTAGGAAACGATCGTGGGAGACAAAGAGTACATCGTACATCCATTTGAATGAAATGTGTAATTGTACCTTTGTATTAATCATTCTTGCGTACATTTCTGATGATATTGTCTTCTGATGAAAAATACTTCTGATGAGAAGAGTGGCGTTAGAAGACATCGTCCTTTGATTATTTTATTCTGATGAACTTTGTGATGTGGAGAAATGTTGAGTCCAGAAGATGTAACTTTCATCTTGTCTTCTGATATGAAGAGATGTGCATATTCTAAGACGTATCTTAGTCTTGAGAATCTTGACTTTGTCTTAAGAATTAGAAGCATCAGTTTTTCTGATGAATATATATTGACTTCTAATCTGGAAGTAAAAGCTTTCTATGATGTGTTCAGAACTTTGACTTTGTCTTCAGAGTTAAAAGCAACAGCTCTTCTGACGAACAAATCTTGACTTCTGATCTTTGACACAAAAGCTTGTTTTTAGTGCAATTTTGATTTCTGATCTTGAAGCAGAAGCTCTAATAGAAATTCTTTCTTCTAGAGACACTTGTGACTTCTGAAGCAGCAGCTTATTGAGAAGAACACGTTGAGATCCTTTTCTGGCGAATATTCAGTATTCTTCAGAACTACTGATATTTCTTCAAAAGCGGATGCAATAGTCTTTCTGATGTGTGCTTAGTATATTTCTGATGATTCTTTAAACAACAATTATGAATCAATTAGAACTTCTAATCTGCACACTCAAGAAACTATTAGAAATAAAGTGGTTTACATAAAAAATATATGTATTGTTATCATCAAAATCCAGAGACTAATTGTAGAATTCAAATCTTGTTCTAACAATCTCTCTATTTTTAATGATGACAAAACCATGTATTTTGATGTAACAATTTTACAAAGTAATATCATAATCGAATTCAAGTTAAGAAGAAAACTTCCCCTGATTAGCGTAAGCTCCCCCTGAGTATAAGATTTACAGATTTTAGAAGGAAGAGATATATGAGCATTGTTTAGAAAACTCCCTCTGAGTTAAACAATCTCCCCCTGAATCTAAAACTTAAGACCTTATCAGAAAATAGGATTTTCTGAGCTTGGTTAAAATTTTCCAAAATTCTGAATGAAGCATGTGGAAGTGATTATCAAAGTTGCTTTATCAGATTTTCTTTCTTCATTAGAATCTTCTAATAATCATAGAGGTTCGTCATCATAGCTTGATCTATCAGACCCTTCTAAATGTTTGAAGTTTGTTATCAACACTCGATCTATTAGAATATTCTATACCTTAGAATTTCTTTATCAGAGTTTGATCAATAAACCTTTCCAGTCATTAGAAGTTCTTTATCATAACTTGATTTATTTGAACCTTTTAGACTTTAGAAGTTCTTTGTTCATATATCTTTCTTCTGAATATACCTGAAACCCATTCTAAGCTCTTTGCATTTATATATATTTGTTAAAAATATAAGCAATGAGATTTAGAGTTAGGTATGCATCAAAATCATCATTATGCTTCTCCCTCTTTTGTCATAATCAAAAAGATAATTCATTAAATGAACGGATAAAGAGTACATGAAAAAAATAAGAACAAAAACAACAAAACAAGGGTTTCTTAGAAGTGTCTATGGGTTAGACAAAGATGGAAGCTTGTTAAGAATCTGCTTTAGCAAATCTTCAATCTCCGTGTTGAAGTCTTCCTGTGTTTCAAAATTTTCTTTTGCAATGTCTTGTCCCTTTTTCAGGTCTTCGAGAGTTTGCACCAGGACAATTGAATCTTTTGGAAAATTTGAAGTTTCTACTATTTCCTTCCCAATGGCCTCTTTTCTGGCAGCTTCTTCTTTGGCCCGTTTCTTAGCCATTTCTTCTTCAATCTTTTTCTGAGCAGCCTCTTCTTCTGCCTTTTTCTTAGAGGATTCTTCTTCAGCTCTTTTATAAGCAGCTTCCTCTTTTGTCTTTTTCTTAGCTTCTAAAGCCATATATTTCTCTTCTACTTCTTTGAAAATTTTTTCTTGTAACTGTACATCAAGGTTTCTGATTGTTAGAAACTCATCAGCCATCCATTCTTTAAACTGATCTCATATGGAGTTTAAGTGAGAAGAATCAATGCTTGAAATAGATTCTTCTCTGAGCTCATTGATTCTCCTTATTTCATCTTCCTTGAAGATAGAAATTACTTCTTCCAAGTTCATGTTCAGAGGAGGAAGATCAGAGGATTGGACATTGTTTTCCTTTTCAAATCCTGTTTCATCAGAAACCATGTCGTTAGAGTTATCTCAGCCATGGGTTTCATTAAGGATTTTGTTGTTATTTGGATCAGAAGGTGATGGTGTAATGTTTGAGGTGATAAGGGTTTCAAAAGTGACTGGATCAGAAGTAAGAAAAGTTCCAGATATCTGAGCATCAGAGGTTGGTAAGGATGTAAATATGTGTTGTGGAATTTTTGTGGTGTTTGTGATATTTGATGGTGAGATGGTAAAAGAGAAATCTGGAGAGGAGGTGGTAATGGTGATTTTTAGATTTATTTTCGTTTTTTATGGTGGTGTAGTGATCGATTTTGAATTTTCAGTGGAAGCCGAAAAAGGCATAGATGAAAGTGGAATGGACGAGGTAGTAATTATGGTAGAAGTTTGTGGAGGTGGTGTAGGAATAGATGAAGAAACATAAACAAGTTCAGAACCAGATATAGTAACTTCAAAGGACATACTAGCTTGAGAAGTAGAGACATTGATGTTAGCATAATCTCCTTTCTTCAGAGTTTTCTGCTTCTTATTGTTTGTCTTCTTCTTCTTCTTCTTCTTCTTCTGGGTTGAATCAGACTTCTTCTTGAGAATAGATGATTTCTTATCATTAATTTTAATTTCAGAGTTATCAGTAGACTCTGCTTTAATCCCCTTTAATAAGCTATTAGGGCTGTTGGTGAGTCAAACTCTGTAAATAAAGGATATCCGTCAACTGATATCCTAAGATTCTTGATATTCTGTAGATCCTCAGGAATGCTTGGCTTAATCACTTCCCATGACTTTTTAAAAATATTCAAGGTTTTATGATTATTACCATTAAAGGGTTTTCTTGTATCTGCCTCAATACCTTCCATATGATTCTGATTAGTGAGATGTTCTATGAGGCCATTTTCAATCAGAATATCTGAAATCATTCTCCCCATAGGAATGTAACTCTTCTTGGACTTCCTAGATTTAATTTCTCTAGTTGATATGACAAAGTCTCTCAAATAGTTAAAGAGAAGAGATGGAAGATGCACCTTGATTCCTTTCATCAGATAATACAGTATGCATTTCTGATTGGTGTTGACATAGTCGACTGAGCTAGTTGTTTTTCTGTGATGAATAGAACCCAGAATAATCTTAAACCATACTTTA